CTGCCCAGCCGGGTGGCCTCTGGCTATGCCTCGGCTGCAGGAAGGAGGTGGGGGACCGTCGGAGTCGCTGCGAGAACTGCTCCGCGCACTTCCTGACCAAGGTAAGGGCGTGGTGGTGCCCGAAGTGCCAGAGCGGCCCCAACCACCCGGGGAGGAGGGATAGCTGCGGTAGCTGCGGCGAGCCCTGCCACAAGAGGGAATGGCTCCTGGCCGAGGTGGAGCGGATACGGCGGACCGAGAGGGGAGCGGAAGCGTGGGCCAGGTACACCGAGCGGAACCCCGAGGGGGACCGCGAGACCGAACCCCAGACGACCCTCACCCTGCAGGACTTCGTCCTGGGTCTCCGACGTGGGACTTCACCCCCACAGGGCCGCCCCACCGGGAAGGGGAAGAGGCCCGGCACACCCCCGAAAGGAGGAAAGGGGCGTGGGCGGGGGAAAGAGCCACAGGGCGGCCGAGGGAAGTCCCGAGGGAAGTCTCGCTTGGGGAAGGGGAGTGGGTCCACGTCGCGCAAGCGCTGGAAGTACTACGACAACACCCAGCCCCCCCCAGGGGTGTGCCGGTACTACTGGAAAAGCCGCCCCTGCAAGACGCCGGGCTGCAAGTACCGCCACCACCACCCGAGGGGCCCCCCCGCGCCGGCCCAACCGGAAGACCGCCCGCCCAAGGACGGCTCGGAAGCCTGGGACGACCCCGGCCCCGGGAGCGGAGCCGGGGCGCCTCCTCGGAAAGCCGGGGGAGGGGATCACCCTCCCCAGTCCGGGCCAAGGAGGGCTCCCCCCCTGCGGCTCGGGACCCACCCGGTGTGGGAGGGGAGGCGAAGCCGGGCGTGGAGGACCTCCCGAGGGTCATCGAGGAGCAGAGCGTCGGAGGCGGCCAGCGCAAGCGGATCGCCGTCATCCGGCATCACGTGGAGGCGGCAGGCGGCCAGGTGGGAGGGACCGCGCCCAAACCCCGCGCGCGGCGCGGCATGGGAGTCATGGAGGTGCCCTGTGTCCACGCGCGGGTGGCCCCCCACACTCTATTCGTCGGGGCCAACGGGACCTCCCGCTACATCTGCTGCCACCTCTGCAGGATGGGGGCAGGCGCGCACCTGGTGGTAGCCAAGAAGCAGACGGAGGAGATTTGGAGGTTCCTGGTAATGCGCCTGATCTTCACCACGGAGGGGCGCAGGGCGCGGGCCAGGTTTCCAGATCCGTGGAAGACGGGACTTACGGAGGCCCCCTTGCCCCCGCCCCCAGACAGCCGCTTCGTCCGGCTGGTGATCGGGGAGGACCACGCGCTGCACAAGTTTCGGGATTGGCTGCGGGAGGAGTCTGCCTCGGGGAACCCCTTTGGAGGGGAGCCAGTCCCTCTGACCCCAGGGGGGGAGGAGACGGAGGACGACCCGGCGGACTTCATCCCGGCCGGGCAGGAGGCCTCAGGATGGACGGTGGAGGGAGCCTCCGAGGTGCCCCTCGCGCCCCGCCTGGAGCCGGACGTCAACCCGCGACTCTTGGTCGGGTCGACACCGCCAACGGAGGCATGACGTTCCATGGGTCCGACTTCCGGGTCAAGTACCTGCAGGTCGCCCGCACCCTCGGACTCGACTTCATAAGAGGCCCCCGGGTGGACGAGGAGCCCCACCTGTTCCCGGGACTCGGGCAGGGCAGCGCCCAAGCACGCCGGGTCTGGAACTTCCGCCTGGCGGCGAACGGGAGGGAGTACACCATCCGTTCGGCGGAGCTGCTTGGCGCCGACCTCCGGGACATGGACCTGGCCCCGGGGGCCCCAGACCAGCGGTACCTCGGGATGGACATTCTCCATTCGCAGGGAGTTATTGACCTCTGGGAGCTTGGCGCCCGGGGGCTGCCGATCGTCCAGAACGCGTCAGGCCACGTCTGCTACACGGCGACCCTGCCTGCCCCCTCAGGGGGCCTGCTTGCTCGCCCCGGACAGTGGAAGGCCTGGCGGGACCCGACCACGGAGAGCCTGACCCTCTACCCCTTCCACGCGGGCGGAGCCCCCTCGGGAAGGGGGGGCGCCCCCGCGGGCGCGACCGAGGTGGCGGGGGCCCCTCCCGCGCGCGCTATGAACCCCCTGCATCAGGAGGCCGTGGCGCAGATGCATAGGGACCTGGTGGCTATGGGCCGACCGGAGGCGGCCGCCCTCCTGCTCAGGCTGATCCTTCAGGATGAGGGACCGCCCCCTGATGCGGACGTGGAGGACGGGATCGGCGACCCCCGGACCCACATCCGTGGAGGGCCGACCCTGGTCGTCCGGGGGGCGGAGAGGTCCCATGCCAGGACGACGGAGGGGGGGGCGATCCGCAACCTCCAGAGGGGCGGGGAGTGGCACTCCAAGTTCTGGCACGACTTCGCGCGGCGGTGCGGGAGCAGCGACTTCGACCCCGACCGGGCCCTGGACGCTGCCCGCGCCTTCCTGTCCCAGGTGGAGGATTACGGGCCCCTCGCTGACCAGCTGGACAACGAGGGGTGGGAGGATCTCCACACCCAGGTGC